CGAATAAGGCAAGATTTCATCGTCGTAGATGGTCTATCGGACAACACACGTTTGTTTTGTGTCTATCAGCCGAAGTACCATACAGAATGCAGATGATGTTTTGTGATGTCTCCTTATTTTATCATCAATAGTCGTCCTGAAGGGTCAGACGTTGATCCTCGATGCAACTGAACATTTCGATGAGGAACTCATTCACCAAGGGACCACAGGGTTCCCGTACCAACAACTGTGTTACCCATTGTGCAAGGGTAGTTCTATTCCCAGTAGTGCTTTTCAAGGCAACGTGCCAGCCGGATTCTCCGCCTTCTGGGAGAAGCGATGGGAAGGTTAAGGGAAAATAGTCCCTGTCGCAGGTGGAGATGGCGCTTCTCTCGCCAGTAAGCGTCCTGGTCATTGTTTTTCTGTCACATGGCATGCCACCTTTGGCGCGTGTGTCGACGGCCATTATTTCCGCAGAAGGAGTTCCAGGGGACGAAAACGCTAAGGAGTTGGACAGGGTCCTGGACCGCGGCCAAGGGTGACAGACGTGAAAACGAAGAGGTGCTACTTCGATTTTTGGCAAGTGTTTTTTTTTACACATAAATGTCTTGCAACACCGGCAGTGCGTTTCTGATAGTATTTCGATCAGTGTGTAACGGATATCAAACAAACATATTCCTATGGCTTGACAACAACAAACGATGTCATTTCCATCTGAGGTATATACCGGTACATATGGTAACAGCACTTGTCTCCCGCTTTCGTTTCGGTCTTGAACCATGGATACCAGTACGTACGCAGCAGTGCAATAGTTTCTTGTTGTGTAAGGTGGGTAGGTTGTGTGTTTGGTTGATTAGAGTGTACGGTTGGCAACTTCCATACCACTCTGACCGAAAATATATAGGCGATTTGGAACCACGGAAATAGGAGAGGAAACTGGTTATACGGCCCCTAGCGTCCCTGTATATCATACAAAATTCACTCAGAATAATGCAGGAATGCATTAGGGGATGGCCCAAAGACATCCCCTGGAGTAGGAGATGGTTCCACCTCCATCTGCCGCGTGAGAAGCCAATCTGCTGCGCGACTCGCTTGATGTCGCCATGGCCCAACTTGCCGTTCTTGCTGCCCTCGAGGAGCTCGTCCATCAAAGCTCGTCTACAATTTTCTCTCAGATTCTGTCTGCGCACTGTCCCAGCAGCGCCTCTAGCAACGGACAGGGTGATTAGAGTACGGGAAGGCACGTTTCCGGCGATATTACTTTTCAAGCTCTGCGTGCCCTTGCTTCGGGCGCTGCTGTGGACATATGTGCGTGTCGAATCGAGAAAACAGCGGGATCGACAATCTCGCTGACAGACCCCGAAAACGATGCAAAAATCCGTTTTGAAAAAAGCAACAAATTGCCATTCAGCCGCATGTCCAAATCTCCCTTATATTTTCGGTCAGAGAGCGTGAGTGTTTGGTGTCCATTGAAAATGAGTTAAATTATTGTGTTTGATGCACATCGCACGCACCGGTCGCTCATTGCGGTTCGAAGGCGGCCAATATACGGCGAAACCTGTCGTAGAGCCGTCCGATCTTTGTTATGGTGCCTTCGCCGAGTCGGGCGTATTCGTAGCATTGAACGATGGAATGCAAGCGTTCCTTCACTGGGTGGTAAGTCGTGAATTTTATGCATGCGTGTATGGGGATGGAAAGGACAAATTCGAGTAATATGTACCTCTACGCTGTTAACATTGAGAAAAATATACTTGTCGCTAGCAGGAAGCGTTGTTGTTCGACAGACCGGCGCGCCGAGCCTTGTATGGACATACCCTGACGATGTATAGTCTTTTGTAGTACAAAGCAGAATAAGGCACCATAACTCACCTCACTTGGACGGACAAGAGATGGTCACCAAATATCCTTTTTTGTTCTCCGCGTCTTCGACATTCAGCGACGCGAAGTTGGAATATACGCCCGAGATTCTAAGCGATTTGTTTTCGCGCGGGTGGGTGAGGGGATGTGGCAGGGTGGTAGGTAGTTGTGGAAGAACGCTCTTTCCATTTTTGAAGCCTATCCCTCTAGGCTCCTTAGCGAACAGCGTAGCTCCACAATGGTTGCAGCGGTCAGCGCGTTCCACAGGTCTACCCATTTCAGCGCGCGCATCAACGAGTGACGTCGCTGGATGATGACGGTTTGCAGCCGCGATATGTCTCCTCGCATACGCATGATGTTGTGGAGTTCCGATTCAGTTCCTGGTGACCGTTGGGAACTCAAAGTGTCGTCCAGACGATCCCTGTTCGCCGCAAAAATGCCGAATTTTTGTTTCTTTTGGTCCGGTTGACGATTCCTGCTGGCGGATAGTTTGTGATGAGTGGCGCTGAGTCATGTCCCCGTGTTCATGACAGCATTCTTGTTCGGTCTCCTCGCATTTTCAGCCAATTTGTTCCAGACATCATAGGCACGATTATCGTCGTTCTTGCGCAATGACTGTGGTTTATTGTTTGTCTTGTTTCGCTGTGTACATCCGTTCGCACAGTAGCGGTATCACACATCGCTCGGTGATGTCGAAGCGGCGTGTAGATGTCATTAACAGTGATGGCTGGGAGAAGAGTGCAGGACTACAGGTTGCACGTGTACACATGTAATGGTAGTTCCGATTTAGAACGTTACAAGGTACCGTCGTTAAATATTCACGAAGAAGGTGGTCTGCATATCGTGCTGTCGATTTGTCTCGAGGGACACGCAGAAACTTTCCGAAGGACGTTGTGATGTTGTTGCGGGTGACACGCACACGTGGGGATCCGCTCGCATGTCTGCTGCACATCGTTAAACAGCAGCGTGGGAATTTGTGCATGACACAGCAGTAGAAGCTGCGTACTTCGCGGCGCAGTCGATTGTAATCTACAGCTGCAGTGCATGCAACACATGGCTGGACGCTGTGCAAGTCGACCAGTTTCCATTACCATACAGCGACAAACACATCAAAGGTCGCAAAACCCGTCTGCTGCTCAGCAGAGGGAGGGCAGAGGGAGGCAGTGTCTATCATTCAGTATCGCGCATCGCATACATGTCTGGGTGGTTGGCTGTACCTCCGACGCTGATCGGTTGTGTGATTGATTGTCGTGCATATCACACGCTAGCATTTCAGCCGCGACCTGCAATGACACACCGGCAGAAGGGCGCATGACCTCTGTACAGCTGCGGCAAGCTGTGTGGATCATGCTATCACCGTTTCAACATCAACGCAGACCTCGGGGTTCGTACACGCAATCTTCAATATAACTTAAAAAGCACCAAGAAATTGTGTAGAAAAAATCCTTCACTATTTTCTAGTAGTGTGTCCGACGATGACATTCCCACATAAAATATGCTTACCTTGATATGGTTCCACGTAGAGACCGGCAGAGAGATCTAAGGAGGCAGCCCGCCACGAAAGCATGCATATGAGCAGTTTCAGCATCGTTTCCACACAGACTACAACGGTTACCACGTCGATTTAGTACGCTTGTCGTGCAGTTTTCTTCCAACGTTTTGGCCTCTGGCCCTGGTGGAATATTGGCTTGCCGAATGTTCTGTTCGGGGATGGCGCAGCCAAGATCTTGTTTCAGAAGTTATTGCTTCCATAAGTACATGCTGTAGTTCTACAACCTCAACGCGGATGGCTGCTGTCAGCGAGGCATGCATGCTACACGGCACTTTCTCTAGCATGTTTGTACTCCTCTCTGTCACCCTTGCATGTACCCGGGTCCCAATTCCCTGTGTGAGCCCCACACGTGGACTCACCGTCACTGCTGCGTCGTCCGTGCGCCATGATTGTGTGTGTGTACCTTCGAATGCGTGCCCACAGGAAACAGTTTGGAGCATTATTGTCCATGAGAGCCAGTTTGCGGGAAGCGGAAAAATGATAGGTCCGATCAACCCAGCCACCGTTGGTGTTATTACCAATTTGCCATCGTGTGCAAAAGCTACCGTAGTAGGTAGCTGACAGCGTCACTGCTTGATCATTTCATAAATATCCCTTTTTTCCAGCCCCACCTTATCGATTTGGGGGGGAGGGGGTAGCTGGATGGGGTGGGGTTGTCGAAAGCCGTTGCCCTTTTGAGTTCTGCCCCCTAAAGCCCTTTATCACCCTAACCTGAGAGCAATCTCTCAACGATCGACCGCAAACTGTTGTCGCATGTGTTTTGCGACATGGCGGGCTGAGAATGAGTAGCATCCACATAGCCGTTGTATTGTTCATAAAGGCGGACTACATAAGCGAAAACTCATCCGATCGATGTGTGCGGCAAACGAGCCGTGACAGCTAGACGCAGCCGCAGTGGGTCTTTTCGTGGGGTGCTGCTGATTCTTGAAAACCCAACAACGTGAGCGTCCTACGGCCTCCCGGTCTCAATCAACCACAACACTGAGGTTGCTTCAGCCGGTGCCAGAGACATCACTGACATGAAAAACCTATGACGCTGGCAAGAACGCTGCTTCCAGAGGGACTCTCCATTTTCCCGCATGTATTTGACCTCTACTAGCGGTATCAATTTCTGAGCCTGCCTCTCCGATATCCATCAACCACCACACAAGACGCTACCACACGCCCAGATCGTGGGGCGATAACATTGCCGTTGCTGTCGCTTCAGCAGGTGCTGGGGAAGGATCACCGGCACGGCAAACCAATCACAGTAGGTTCAAGAGAATCGGCAGGTCGTTCTTCGCGTGTTCTTGCCCCTCGCCACCTCGGTTTCACCATGCCTTTTATCTCCTTGCGGTCTCAATCAACCATCACACAAGACGTGGCCATCACACAGCTCATGGGAAATGACGTTACCTTCGCTCTTGCTTCCGTCCGTGCCGTGAAATCAACGAAACCCACGCAGGCGGAAACGTGCTGATTTTTCTGACGTCGTTGATGGCGGCAATTCGCTAACGCTGTCCGCGCTTTCCTATTACGACGGGTCTATCATCACTGCATCAAGCCTCAGCGTAATAAGAGCACAGCCTAACATGTGTTCCCCCATCTTCTGGTTTTACTTCCTACTGGACAGGTCTGCACACGAATTGACAACTACACCGTCATGGAGGGAGATACCGACTCGGGCTCCGCAAGTCCTGGCGAGTAAAGGTCTCGACCGATGCGAGAGCCATTTTTTCGATTTTTCCTCCTTCACCCCGATGGAATTCGAGGAACACCGTATGTACGTTGGTTTTGTATTCTTCCGTTCGGTCGTCTATGTGCTTGTTCTTCGACAAGCAACGCCGAATGTACACGCACAATCGTCGCGTCATGCGTGTGCAGCTGGATCGGTTCGTCTGTAGGTCTTGTTAGTTCTTCTCGGGGATGCTGCCCAATGAATAATGGTTCCGTGTTTATAATTTCGCCCCAAACTCCCCATTTCCGAACGATATTTGTTTTATTGGAAAAACATCTTCAACGAACTTCTGAGCAATAGCTTGTCGTGTACTTTGGGCTGTTTTTTTGTCTCCATGGCCACCGTACTCGCATTTTTTTAATGATTCGTGACGGTCAAAGTGGTTGGGGTTTCGAGGTGTTCGTGCTACCGCACGTGGTTCGACGCGACTATTATACCCTTCCCCTCATACCGCGTAATTTCGCAGCAATTTTGTTAGTATGTTGTGACACGCCGTTGTTCGTGTTCATGCCTGTGTAGCATGTGTCTGGCTTGCTCTCTTCGATGGTGCTATGAGGCGGACAGCTCAAACATGAGTGTGTTGTTGCGTTGGAGGATAGACCACGCACATCACTCCATCCAGCACCCTGTGAATACACGTCCTTCGCCAAAGATGTTCTCTGGTTACCAAGCAGATGCAAATGCTGGAAAACGTACCTTAGGCACGTTTCTTTTGTCAAAAGGGGGAAACATAGGAATCCTTGAGGCCTACTTTTGACAACGAATACCGTAGACCGTACCTTGGAAACAAATGGAAACGCCCTCGGAACAGGTCCCCGTGTTCAGACATGCATGGGCAGGCTTCGTATCCAACCTTAACCGCAGGCAGAGACGAATCCCAAACCAGCAAAATAACTTTGAAACCCCCCCCGGCCAAATCGATATTTCGGCAGATGAATGGGGTTCGGCCGTGGCGACGGGAGACGCCACCAAGCTAGCCGAGCTGGTGCTGGTTTGGTCCGGTTCAAGGCCCGCGTCGGCTCTGTCTATTCTCAGGGAATGTGTCTCATTGTTGGAGAAGGAGGCTGCGTTTTCAGTTCCAGATTCTTCTTCCCTTCCTTCGCCCTCTTGTGCCCTTGGTGAGTTCCGTTTTGACGTATTGAATTTGTGCCTTCGACGCCAATTGTGCACCCCTGTGTCTTCGTCGTCAGCGTGTGCAGGTCGAACGTTCAATCTTATCATCGGCACTCGCTGGTGTTCGTCGAGAAGAGGTGGATTGGGTGTTCAAGGGGTCCACAAATAGATAGCACCGTCGTGCACGGGTGAGGTCTGTTCGAAACAGGTCCCTCCATGCTTCAATTATGACGATCCAAAATGGAGTAAAATTATGACGATCCTTCCACGGATAGGAAATAATCGTGTCGTCAGCTAAGCTCGTTTCTCTGGGTAGAATGATCCTACAACCACCTCACTTGCACATCGAAGGAGGCCAATCGGTGAAGGTATGCATAGCATCAAGGAGGATCTCACTTCAAAGCGTCAACTAGTGCGCGAGGGGTGTGTGTTCTCTGTTAATTCAGTATATGATGACGCACATTTTCAGAAGCCAGGGCGAAACAATGAGCACGTTCTTTTTCATGCGCTTGGATTGGCTCTCTCCGACGCCAGCGCCGGTAGCGTCGGCACGGTTTTGTTCAAGGGTGCTTTCGAGGCCTTCACGAATCTAGCGCGCGTCCACATTTCACAATGTTGCGAACCGTAAGGTTCAAAACTTTTCCGGCTAGCTTGCACGCTCGCTGCACCCCTCAAAGATTTGGCGGTCTGCCCGTCGGAGGAAATCTTTGGCCAAACTTGGCCTGGACGAGATTTTGGCGAACAGGAAAGAAGTTGACCCTCGTTGAATCGACAAATCTTGCGGCAAGATCTCAAGGTTTTGACCCTTGAGATTCCGTCTCGATGTACATACTGCGACCTGGCGTAGTTTGGTAGTTCTTCACGAAACATTTCTGACTAGCCGTCCTTGCTGATCTAGTCTGCTTTGCTCTGGCAGATGTAGGTGGTCAAAAATGCTTGAAGAGGGTTCGTGGTTGGCGCCTAGTCCCCTGTTTCTGTCTCAACGTTTGGCCCTGGAGAGCAACGTAGTCGGGGCTACAGTTCCCCTAACAGAAACCCTTGCGGTAGAAACTTCTCAATAGGTATTAAAGTTCAACGGTTGCTGTGGTTTTGACTATGTCCTGTCTCTGCGCTATCACGACTTTCCGGCATTTTCTTTGTAATATTGTAAGCTTGTGCATAGAGCGGCACAAGCCACGCACCAATGGCCTGTTGGACCGTGCCATTTTCGTTGAATAATGAGCGTGTTCTATGAGTGGGGCGATTTTGACGTATCTCTCCTAATTGCATCATGCCCGTGGTACAATTTCGGAAGTATCCTTTCGCAGGGTAAATGGTTTACATTGACGCAATTTAGTGCCTCAGCTTATAATACTGTATGCCAACACACCATTTATTCTCCCGTCAGGACCCACGCGCAACTCGTTCTTGAAGGCCCTCATGGTTGCCTTGAACGAGGCGTCCGACGGGAAGAGTTGGTACACATCAACCACAGAGCTGCAGCTGGCATCCTTGGAGCTCTGCATGGCGTCAAGACACCATCAGACGTTGCACTTGACAGTCGACGCACACACGCCACGCAGGCTGCTCGCTGCTGCGGATGCCCCCTCCCCGGACCCGAAGCGACTGTGTGGGACACGCGTGCCGCGGCTGAGAGCGCGTCGCGTGACGTGGAACATCCCGACAGCATCGGGAATGCGAACCTCGATCTTTGCATTGATGGACGTGGACTACTTGGAGTTCGGCCTAGCGTTTTGCGGAAGCCTGGACGCTGTTGCATGACCACGACGGCTGAAAACGATTGAGTTTCGCCATTCTCCGCTCAACCGGCTGCTTGACGGCGTTTCATGGCCAGCTTCGGTTGGGAAAGTCTGCTTAGGACACGATTTCAACCAACCCATTGAGAGAGTTTCTTGGCCAGATTCATTGCGGGAGCTCAACTTTCGAGAGGAATTCAACCAGCCCATTGAGGGCGTGTCATGGCCAGATTCGCTGCAGAAGCTCACGTTCGGCTTTTATTTCAACCAGCCCATTGAGGGCGCATCATGGCCAGATTCATTGCAGGAACTGAAATTTGGACATGAATTCAATCAGGTCATTGAAGGGACATCATGGCCAGATTCGTTGCAGGAACTCAAGTTTGCACACGGCTTCGACCAGCCGATTGCGCGAAGTACATGGCCAGATTCGCTCCGGGGGCTGCGTTTCGGAGGCCAATTCAACCAGGACATTGTCGAAGTTACATGGCCTTCTTCACTTCTGGCGCTGTCCTTCGGAACAAATTTCAACCGACCTGTCGAGAGGGTGTCATGGCCAGATTCATTACGCGAGCTCCGCTTTGGAGTGAAATTCAACCAGACAATTGAAGGAGTGTCATGGCCGAATGGATTGCAGCAGCTGAGCTTCGGACATCGATTCGACCAGCCTGTTCAGCGCGTTTCATGGCCGGATTCACTTCAGGAGCTGAGTTTCGGACATGAATTTAACCAGCTCATTGACGGGGCATCATGGCCACATTCGTTGCAGAAGCTCAGTTTTGGATTGCGATTCAACCTGCCCATTCAGGGGGTTTCATGGCCAGACGCGCTGCAGAACCTGAGTTTCGGTCATGAATTTAATCAACCGATTGAGGAAGTCTGTTGGCCGGCGTCGCTTCGTTCTCTCATTATCGGGCGTGGATTCAAGCAGAGTATCACAGGACTGAAGTGGTCTCCTGGGTTTGAAAAGTTGAAGTATGCGCGATCCATGCAGTGGTAATGACATGCGTCGGGTCACATGTTGAAGGTACTTGTCCGCGTTGCTTTTGGCCCGTGCAACAAACCGCGCTTCCTTGATTGCGTGCTCGCATGGTCGGCGTGAATCCCGAAATTGTTTTTCGTGTTCTCGGGCGTAGCGTGTGGAACGGTGTTGGCTCCGTCCCAACAGCCGTTTACGACGCGGTGGTGCGTTTGACTTGCACTGTTCGTAATAACTTGTAGACGCGGTACTCCGTGAGTACCGAACCAATCCAAGCAATGGCGTGTGCTCAAGTTGGAACGGGTAGAGAATTAGTTTTCACTTCGTTCAATATTCCAGGGGATGAGGGGCACCGACGTGAGCGGACAATGCAGGCCATCAGAATTTGTTTGGTAATTCGTCAATGTTCATGTGGTTTCTGTGAGTGCAAACCGTACGCATTTGAGTATCGTGAGAGCGCATTAGAGAGAATGAGCATGGCGCGAGGGCTGTTTTCAGAACTGGTGACGTTGGAGGCCCAGTTTTGATTCTCTGGTTGGCAATGCACAGAGCTTGCCAGAAGCCGTTGGAAACGATCCATCCGCTGTACATGCACTGTTTACTGGTTATTTACTTCTATGCAATCAATCCTCCAACAACAACGTCTTCACCCGGCAGAGCGTGCTACGCGAAGGCCAATTTGTGTATAAGTGCATACACATGTGGGGACATATGTCCAGGGCGTTTGTATCTCCATCCTTCTCCTTCTCCATCCGCCGCCCTCCTCACCCTATACACATACATGTCTTTACAACTTTCCACCCGGGAAAAGGAACAACAAAATGCCTTCAGTTGATTGAGCCGTGGCTACCCGCGGACTGTAACGAGGTACAGGATACGGCAACAATACACACACACAGCGTCGGTAAAGCAAACACGTGCCCGTATTGGCGAAATACGGCGAATTGCGACAACAAAATCCCGACAAAGACGCCGAAATTACAGGCAATCCCAAAAAAAACGAAAACGAGTTATTACGTAGCACACACATACACACAGTCGAGGAGGAAAAAAAGGCGTGGAAGAGAGCAAGAGCTTCGGGGCAGATGACCTTCCCAACCACAAATGACACAGGGCTAGAGGCGAATGTCGAGAAGTTGCTGTGAAAATGACCATGAGAACGACGGATCTTGCTCGCCACCGTACATCAATATTTCATGTACTTCCTTCATGTGGTTGCAGACACCTCCTTCTGCAAAAATGCGGCGCAGACTACTTCTGCCGTGCACAACAATCGATCATGCTCGTCATCTCATCACATACGCAGACATAATAAGGGATCAAACCCGGAATGTGCAAAAGGGGCTTCCCGACCATGGGCTCACAACTGCAGATTTGGACGCCATCGAGGTGTTGTATTTTTCACCTGGTCATGTGACGTCATTTTGGTCTAGGATGAAAAAGACTCCACCACATCCCGTTCGACTGTGGGTATATCTCGAATGGGTAGTCTTTCTGTGTGTGTTTTTATTATTCCTTAATTGTAAACAGGCACTCCCTGATGAGTGATGAAAAGAGGGAACCAGCGAAACGTCAGCATTTCCTCCGCACTGAACTAAAGAGCCCCCCTGGACGGGGGTGCGCGCGCCCAACAACCCAACAGCACCCCACCAAAGCTCCACGTCACCCCAAGGTGCGAAGCCCTCGGCTCCTGGTGGAAACCTAGGGCTGGCAGAGGCATAGGGAGGACGGGGAGAGAGGCAGGGGCGCGAGAGGTGAGGTCTGCCTCTAGCGTTTACGATGCCTAGAATAGAGCACATCAACCTCCCCGTGCCGTGGGAAACGTGTCATGTGGCGGTCTCCGCCGTCTGTCTGTCTATCGCGGCGCCGTGGGCCAGGTTGGAGTCGTAAGCCCTGTTTGTTCTACACCCGTGCTCGTACTGTGTGGCAAGGGTTGTACCGGTACATCGTCAGGATTGCTTTGACGTTACATATCTTGCCGACAGCGTAAACCTGAAGTCGCGTACGCAGCAACCCAGGCCAAGTCGGTGCGACGTATGCGTACTTATAGCTCAAGGTCCGGACGTGAGGGGCTTCGCCCCCCGCCTGTCCTCCGTTGAAGGTATACCCGTTCGCGCCCTTCGTAGAGAGTGATAGTCACATATTGTATGCGTAGTAGCCAAGTGGAAGGTGGATTGTTACAAGGTGCAACGAGATCCCTATTTTTCCCGGCAACGTTCTTCGTGGTCAATTTGGTCTGACCTGAACGTTTTTGCCTTGTGTTTGCCCGCATTCTGCCGGTGGTGGTTGAAAAGCCCCATGACTATCTACCATATGGTTTTAAGGGTTTGAAGACAAGCAACTTTGACGCTGAAGAGGTCGTGAGGAAATCGCAGGCGACACCCAGTTAGCTTGTGACACCCCAGTGCTAAAAACAGCAGGCCGGGTGGACAAGGTCTTTATGTCGGTGCTCATTTTTGTGCTTGTACTGTACCACGCTCTACGGTGAGCAAATCCAATTTGACCTGTTGTGTGTGTCAAGCAAGGCGTGCATTCAGCGATAGGAGACGTTTTTTTGCGCCGACCATTCGGGGATTTTTTTGCGTCGATGGCCGATCGATTCGTTTTTTTCGAGGGTCGATATGGATACGCGTCAATATCACGCTTCCGCCCGTGGACGCACGTCTGACGACAGCCACATCTATCAGCTGTCGCTCCTTGTAGCGACAGCTATCCTATGATATAGGAAAGCAACCCTCCCCCCGTTTACATTCTGTTATTCTACTTTTTATCCGTATATGGGACACCATGAAGAGGGTCCTGTGTACTGGCACGTTCGGGGTTACTCTGGAGCTGAAATATCGAAGGTCGCAGCAGCCCCTGAACACTGTCCGACTCTACGCCGGAACTAGCCGGAACCACACATTTTTCACAGCCGTGCTCACTGCTACGGATCGTTAGCAGTAGCTAGTGGCATCAGTTACAACCCGCCGTTCAGGAGATTGGGGTTAGTGGCGGCGAGGACAAGCAGTACAAGACACAAAGGGTGTTGGTTATTTTCGGAGATTTGCGGGGATTGTACGCCGCTTCTACGATCCTCGATATCACCTCCCAAGAAGTAGATTTGAGCGCGCTAACACCCACACTCCACTGCTATTGGGTGTCGTCGACTGATAACAGTAGAATGCATAGCACCTAGTGCAACCCCGACCTTGTTTGAACGCATGCCGTTCTGGCTCTTGTGGCTTGAACTTAGACTGGTGCGAAGTGTTGTCTTCATTTCAAAGGAGGTGTGTGGAGGTAGACGCGTGAAAGGAATACTTTTGAGTAGCCTCTACTGCCCACCGGGGGCGAGAATCAACGATTTCTGTTATTCGCGATGCCTTCCGATGGTCTTGTATCTAATGAAATCAACATCAAAAATCTCTGTCTGCCATCAAAAATTCCGTCTATCAGTCGACGTGTGCGTCGGGGACGTGAGGATGGGTGTGGGTGGAAAACAAGACACATAAAGCAGTGGATGCTTGACAACCCGGCGGTGTGGTGATGCGTGACACACAGCTCTCTGCAACGAAAGAAAATAGACAGAGGTGGGATCGGAGTCGGAACACGGAGCACTGTGCCTCGTCCAAGCTGAGTCGCGAATCTTAAAAGTGACGACAGCAGCACCGTAGATGCAGGTTCGAGCGGGCGATTGCAGCATGCTTCATGGTGCTGTGCAAAAATCGTTCCCCGCTTGGGGTCTCGAGCCCGCAGCAGCAGGTTAGAGAGAGCCGTCCACATCGGCGTTGTCGAAAGAGATAGTCGAATGGGGTCCGCGTGCCGGCGTGCCGAGATCGTCTTGAGCTCAGAGTTGCCCGAAACCCCGCTGCTCTTTGAGGCGCCCAGAATTGATTTTTGCACATTTACGATTTTTTTGAAAATTTGGCTATCCTTTTCTCTCTGACCCTTGCCGTGGGTGGGCTTGCAGGACCACAATTGTACGCTACTAATTCGGTCAAGGCCTTGTTTCCGTCGTTTGGCGAGAAAATAATTATAGCGCCCCATGGGGCAGCAACAACCGGTAGCGCCCGGCTTCCACACTACAACCGTTGGTAAAGTAGCGATAGAGAGAGCAACGGGATGAGTGGAAGAGAGAGAAGCAGAGACAACAGAGAAACAAAGGGAGATGGGGATCCATGTGTGTCATAGTGGCAGCAGGAGGAAGGATGAGAAGACACGGCAGGGTCTTCACCACAGTGCAGCTACAAGGAAAAAAAGCAGCATGATTCCTAGCGTTGTTTCGCCCGCCACTCCCCTAAAGCGCCAGAAGCGGAAACATCCTAGTGCAGTAGCCTCACGCACTTCCTGCTCTGTTTTTGCCTGCTGTTGTTGTGTTGTTGCTGGCGTGGAAGAATCAAGTAGGAAGAAGGGGATTTATGTTTTCTTGCCGTTAGGATATGCCTGGTATTTCTTAGCGATCGAAGATGGAATCTTGTACAGAGATGTTGCTGCGCATATCACAAGCAAGATTTCATCATGAAGGCATTGCTACATGGTCGGTATTCTTACCGCTGCTGGTGCTGCTGCTACTGTTCGCCGTCGTTATGATCACAGTTTCCGAGATACACACAGCAGTAGCTTCACGAGGGA